CTCCAGCTAGATCTCTATTTTACCGTCGCAGTAAAGTAAGATTTCTATCTGATCTATCTAGGCATTCATTCATTGTCTGGCTGACCGTGCATGGGAATCCACTGAGCGGAAATGACACTATCCTTGTTACATACTAATCTAATTAACCCTATCCGTACGTTGCGTTTTACTATCGTATCCATACAACGTGGGGAACTCTGTGCCACCACTTTCGAAAGAGGAAATTTACTTGTTAATCTGATCCGTACGCTTTGCATAGCAGTCTGTCAAAATGAGTTTTTGAGAAATACTGAAAGTTTCAAAGAGATTTTCGCACTAGATGTATTCTCAAATGTGAAGAATACAACCCCGGGGCTATAAAATGACCCCAGGGCGTACGGATAGGGTTAAGAAATAAAAATATACAGTCAAATTCCTTATGTCTCAGCATTGCTCGTAGTATAAAATGGTGCTGCTTATTGGCACAGCCAGCTCACTTGTTGTAGATTTATCACACATTATGTATTTACTTTAGTGCTGCATTTGTATACTTGTGATATTTGTATTAAATTCTTTTCAGTTGTACCCAATACAGTCGCGACATCCAGGTTGAAATATATGTATGTGTAGTAACCTGCTTTGACATATTATTAGTTAAAGTAAAGTAGACATCGACCCTACCCCCCCCCCCTTCCTTTTCATCCCCTCCTTTGCACATTGCAACAATAAAAGTCTGCTGTTTGACATTCGTGTAAGACGTAACTGCAGTCCTTGTCACCCCTACACTGATCCTGGGTGGAACGCACAAGGGTCACAGATTTGAAATGGGGGGAAAAGTGGAAAAAAAGGGGGGGGGGCATTACTTTACTTTTATTGACATTTGTTTGTAATTTGAACATATTTTGGGTGTTATTTTACCATGTTGAGCACCATTCAATTTGGGAGCTCTGTCTTGTATGCATTCTATTTGTACAAGCGATGTATGTGAGATAATGATCAACTTTGAAATGCATATATATATGCACACTGTATGTTGTTCTGTTTTTACAAATAAACTCATGACACACACACACACAGTAGGCCTACTGTACTCTTTATTTGTTGAAATTTTACGTTTCCCGAAAAACTCAAAATCAACTATCAAAGACTTCTGTTACACTCTTGTTGACTGGATTGTGACATAACGTCAGTTTATCAGAAAAGTATGCAAACTGTGATTAACAAAAGGTAACATAATATACATGTATTTTTTACACGTATATTTTTCCATGAACTATAACTCTATAACGCTGACTGTAAGGTGTAGACCTCTATGTAATGTTTGTAAAATTATTTTCTTTTCTTTTCTTTTACTCTTTTTTCCCCTTCCAGAAGAAGGGATCAACTTTTTAAAAATCATGATTAAAACGAGTAACATTAAATAATTTATCATCTTTCAAAAACAAGCTTAGCACATTATTTTCATAAGTAGAACTTGAGTGGAAAAAAGAGGCAAACGTTGAAGAACCGCAATAAAAGGTTATTATTATAAATTCTAATTTGAAAGAGCTCTCTCAAGTCCTTATACTTTATTGAATGAGCACTCAATAGTTTGTA